CCAAACACATCCTCTATCTCGACACCAAGAACCTGTATGCCTAGGCCATGAGTCAGTATCTCCCCACCGGGGGATTCGAATGGGTCTACCCAACCGATATCGACGTGAATTGCATCGCACCAGATTCGAACAAAGGTTACATGGATTACCCTCGAGAATTACACTAATTGCACAACAGCTATCCCCTAGCTCCTGAACGATTGACGGTGAACCCGGACTGGATGTCCGAATATCAACAAAACTTGCTGGGAAACAACAAGCCAGCTAACATTGAAAAACTCGTGCCGAACTTGATGAACAAGACAAATTACGTCGTTCACTATCGCAACCTGCAGCTGCATTGTCGCTGGGAATGAAACTCACGAAAATACACAGGGCGCTCCAGTACGATCAAAGTCCCTGGATTGAGCCCTACATCAGAATGAACACGGACTTAAGAAAGCTGGCCTCCAGCGATTTCGAGAAAGACTTGTACAAACTCATGAACAACTTGGTGTTTGGCAAGGCGATGGAGAATTTGAGAAAACGCGTGAACGTGAAATTAGTCAGATCCACCGAGGAAGAAAAACTCAGGAAACTGATAGCCAGCCTGATGTTCAACCGAAGCAAAATATTCGATGACGACTTGGCAGCGCTGCACCTGAACAAAAACCACATGAAATTCAACTGGCCTGTTTACATGGGGATGAGCATCCTCGACTTATCCAAACACTTGATGTACGACTTAAACTACAACGAGTTAAAAGAGCAGAACGGCTACCAGTGTGAAGTGCTGTACACTGACACGGATTCCTTGCTGATGGAAATTCGCACAGAGGACGTGTACGAGGACATGAAGAAAAACACGCACCTGTATGACACCAGCAACTACCCTAAAGATCACCCTATGCACGACACCACCAACAAAAAAGTGCTCGGCAAGATGTAGGACGAATGCACTGGCACTCCGATCGAGTACGTCGGCTTGAGACCCAAGATGTACTCTATCAAGAAAGCACACGACGACGAAATCAGAAAGGCGAAAGGCGTGAAAAAACACGTGTTGAAAAACCACATCAAGCATGCCAGATTCAAGGAAGCTCTCTTCAAGAATAAAACGTTCAAGCACCAAATGAACATGCTGAGAAACGATGGACACAGGATATACGGACTGACAATCAACAAGACTTCGCTGTCTCCCATGGACATGAAACGATGGATCGCCATCGACGGAGTCACCACTTAAACGTATGGACACGCGCATATTTAATAGTAAAACGCACACAATACATACATGGAGAAAATTTATTACAGCCCATGCGGGTACTGGAAAGGCGCGGACGCCACCCCTGAAACTGGCCAAAGCCGCTAGAGTCTCGGAAGAGAAAGCCAAAGCCTGGCTAAAAAAACAAGCCATCTGGCAAGTCTACCTGTCGGCGCCTCGGTACATCCCAAGAAGAAAATTTCACATTTCAACGCCGAATCGCGTCCACCAAGCCGACATCCTGTTTCTACCTCACGACAGGGTGAGGTGCAAAACCTACAGGTACGCCCTGACAATCGTCGACGTCGCCAGTCGCTACAGGAAAGCCGAACCGTTGACAACGAAAGATTCGAACGAAGTCGCCAAAGCCTTAGAACGCATATACAAATGCAGTCGCTTGACATGGCCTGCCGTATTACAAATCGATCGTGGACGCGAGTTCATGGGAGCCGTGTCGCAGCTGCTGGCCAAGCACAAAGTCCAGGTGAGCCGAGGCATGGCCAGAGCACACAGCAGCCAAGCCATAGTCGAGAAATTCAATCACACCTTAGCCGAACGCCTGTTTTCTCACCAGTTCTCACAGGATTTAATCGATCCCGGAAACAGAAACAAAGAATGGGTCGTACGTTTGCCTCGAGTGGTGGCTGCCATCAACAACGACTCGTTGGCAAGAGACCCATCTAAGCCATCAAAATGAAATCTGTCGAATCGTCATGGACAGCGGCACGTCGCAATAAAACAGCGCTAGGTACATGTACCAGCCGGGAGAATACAAGGGAGACAGAAGAAAATGCGCCACCAAATGGCCTGCCGTATTACAAATCGATCGTGGACGCGAGTTCATGGGAGCACACAGCAGCCAAGCCATAGTCGAGAAATTCAATCACACCTTAGCCGAACGCCTGTTTTCTCACCAGTTCTCACAGGATTTAATTGATCCCGGAAACAGAAACAAAGAATGGGTCGTACGTTTGCCTCGAGTGGTGGCTGCCATCAACAACGACTCGTTGGCAAGAGACCCATCTAAGCCATCAAAATGAAATCTGTCGAATCGTCATGGACAGCGGCACGTCGCAATAAAACAGCGCTAGGTACATGTACCAGCCGGGAGAATACGAGGGAGACAGAAGAAAATGCGCCACCAAACCTCGCGACAATGTCCCTTTTTGATCGCCCAATGTATGATAATTCTCATGATTATTTTTGTGTGTGTGTGTTATTAGGTTGTGGTATGCTATGTGGCTATAGACACAAAGTTAATACAACAATATGTCAGAGTTGTATTTTCTCATGTTATCAGCCATCAATTTCAAAGCCTAAATTCGTCTCTCACAAACACCCCCCTTTTAATTTTAACATCAGAGCTGTGGTGACTATACAGTCTGAGTAGGGCATCTAGGTCGCAAAAGTCTCTGCTGATAGCGTGATTCGAACGCTGGACCTCACGAATGTAGGCCCAGCTCTTTTACCATTAAACCACAGAGGACGATGATAGTAGATTGCGATTGAGACCTACTTATTGATCCAAGCTGTACCACTGTCGATAGAGAGAGAGAGACGACACGACACACCATCATTCTAACCATATTGATACTAATGCAGGAGCAATGGATCATAAACATTTAGGAATCGGTCCAAAACTAACATTACATAACGTAGTCAACAGCCAGCCTGCTCCACAGCGAACTGCACATGGTGAATAATAGCCGGCTTAGTTCGCTAGCTGCTGGTGTCAGCTTGCTGTCGTGCAGCCACGCAACTGTGCAATTTGTGAGTTCGTATCCCGTCTGGCCTCTATGATTTCCTTGCAACTCTCGAAACGTTCGAGTAAGGTTATTTAGAATGAGGAAGCTCTTGTCGAGAGCACACAGTTGGATGCAATCCCACGAGGGAGGAAGCCTTGCGCATCGCACCTATCTCATTTCTTTCTCCCTCGTTGGGGTTGTGACCGCAGCAGACATTTTGCTAAAATTTGTAACAAATACACCTATTTTAACGTTGGATATTTTTTGTACATTTCACACATTTTCACATATTTTAAAAGATTGAAATCAACATTCGCGTGACCTCATTAATCTTATTATCTGAGTGAGTGATTTGAGTGTTACGACGCACTCAGCAATATATTGTTATCTGAAGAGCCTGGCAACAGCATTATGCAAGGTAACATGGACGAGACTTGTGAATAACGCTCTACATTAGTCGAATTAAGTCGAGAGCATTTAAAGTTTCTGTCATGATTCTAATGAACTTACTTTCATTCATTTACAAACTCCAAAACATGAAAAAAACATGGATCTTGAGCAACAGTAAATATTTGGCCCATGGGCGAGATATTGTAATGTTGCTCTAAATTGGCCGAATTAAAGTGAAAATGAGTTGAATTGTGTGCCATTATACTTACAAACACACTTTCATTCATTTTCTGTAAAATATAACAGCCAAAGTGGGGATTATTTTGTTTTAATGGACTGTGACCTGTGGCCTGTGGTGTGACCTGGGGCGCGGAGAGATACACGCTCAAGACGGCCCGTGAGACCCCCAGTCAGTGCATAGCACGAGCATGAGCAGCATGGCGAGTGAGCGAGAGAGAGAGCGAAGAACTCGACATATGGCTAAGAGATAAGGGATTTAATGAAGGTTCCATTAATAAACTGATTAAAGAAGAGTTTTCTGACCCTGAAGAATTGGCTGAGTTAAATAAAAGTGACACAGAAAACCTTAACATCAGGCGCGCTCAACGTAAGCTGCTGGAGAAGGCGATAGCGACACTGATGATACCCAATTCAACACCCTACCTCCAGAGCGGGACGACAGTCACCCCCCTGTGAGCTGGCTAACAACACAGAGGTAAACACTCTCCTCGACGCTATTGACTCGTCTACTATGACGGACATCCTGCAAACCAACCCAGAACACAAAGTCCCGGCCCGGGAACAACGGACAGGTGACAATGGCAAACCACTCTATATTAACGACTTTTAACAAAACCAAAATGTGTAGTGGAGGATAATGGGGATTTTCTAGATTTACCAGACTCTGGAAGGAAATTATCAATTCGTTCTGCTGGGTTTAGACAAAAGCCATACGAAGTATCTGTAGCGAAGTGGGTATCTGCAAACTCTAGAATCCTAATGCAGCTGATTAAAGAGAAGAACATGAGCCAGTCTGATATTCTGGACTACCTGACCTACACATCCTACATCGTCGACTACCTCCAGCAACACACAACCCCCTCAGTTATGCTATTTGATCACATGCACAGAAGAAGTCAGGCAGAGTCTTCAAAATGGTGGTCGGATATAGACTATCACACAATGTTTTACTATCTAGAAAAGAAAGACTTGAATAGGCGATCGCGTGAAACCCACAGAAAACCAGTCTCGGCCGAGGGTAGAGAAATTTGGCTCAATTATCAGAATCAATCAGGGTGTCGATTCATCAAGTGTAAATTCACTCATGTGTGTATACGGTGTCAGGGTCCCCACCCAGACTTCACTCACAACATCCCTGCTGTTGCTCAACCAAACAAGTTCACCCGACGGTAGCAATTACTGCCCAACCCTCTAACTAACACAGCCCACGTCTGGGACAAGAGCTAGAGGGTGACCCTGACGAAGAATTCATTCTAAGTGGTATTCGAAATGGCATTAGTATAGTAGACGAGGATGTAGACCTTGTTGATGTCGTTTGTGAAATCTGCCCTCCATGTCGACAATGTGCTAAAGGTACAACAGTAAGTACAGCAGGAGATCGACACTGTTCACTATCTAGTGTGTGCAGACAAGCCTACAATCGTCAGTGGCCTCGGTGCTGTTCCCAAGTCAGACTCTAATGACATCAGAGTGATCCACGACTGCAGCAGGCCCGCGGGCGGGAGCGTTAACGACTGCGTGTGTACGAATCATGTGACCTATCATAGTATAGATAAAGCTGTTTCGCTCCTACCCAGAGACGGGTATATGGCTTAGATCGATCTCAAACATGCTTATCGTAGCGTTCCTGTACATCCAGACTGTTATGACGCTCTTGGTTAAATGTGGCAGTTCCAAAATGACAACGAGGCAACATATGTGGTACACACAAGATTATATTTTGGTGCTTCAAAAAGTCCGGAAATCTTCCAAAGACTAAGTTCGAGGAAACTGGGATCAAGCGTGGCGATTGTGTATCTGGATGACTTCTTAGTGATAGCGGCAACCGAGGCAGAGTGGGAGACAGCCGCACAGTGTTTAAGACAGCTCATTGAGCTCCTTGGCTTCACAATTAACTGCGAAAGGTATGTCCCTCCCACACAAGTAAGGGTTTTTCTAGGAATCCAGGTCAACAGTATAACGGGTACCCTAACTCTGTCTCACGAGAAACTAACCGAATTGCATCAGTGTTTACATAACATTGTCAGTAAGCGGAAGACAACACAGCGTCAATTGCTGAGCCTGATAGGCAAGCTGAACTGGGCTGCACGTGCAGCACGTGGCGGTCGCACGTTCATCAGGCGTCTGATCAACTTAAGCACTACCGTTAGAAATAAACAACACTACGTGACCTTAAACAAAGAGGCCAGAGCAGACATTCAGTTGTGGGCGGATTTCTGTAGTAGTTTAATGGTACTACCTTTGCAGTTGGGGTGAGCCAGTATCTTATGATGAGTTTACCACTGATGCGTGCGAAGTAGGCGGAGGCGTATTTCAGGCCGGTTGGTTCTATACTGCGTGGAGTGCGGATATGAGCGAAGTTAGCGAAGCACACATAAATGTAAAGAACTAGCGGCAGTGGGCGTGGCGGCGGAGCAGTGGACATCTGCGTGGAGTGGTCGGCACATAGTCGTCTACATGGACAATACTACCACTATGTATAGTATCAACAAGGGTACAGCGCCAAACGTACTTATCATGCGTATTCTTCGCAAACTGTTCTGGTTGTCTCCATCGTATTGGTTCTGTTTGACAGGTAGACATATCTCTGGAGTACAAACTGTTGCAGGTGACAAAATCTCTCGATTACATATGCTTGAAAATAAACAGTGGTTGCAAAAACGAGGAACTAACATATTCTGTGATCACATGTCCCTAAAATCCATGCTGTTTCTACAGGACCAGTGGCTTGTTGTTTAACGCTGCACTCAGCAATATTCCAGCTATATGGCGGCGGTCTGTAAATAATCGGGTCGTACCAGACAAACAAGTGATAAACAGCATGAGTATCGATCTACGCAACTGGGATAAAATGACATGTGTAAACCAAGTCAGTGAGCATGACCAACCGATCCCGTAAGTCGCCTTTTACGGCAAGCATGGGTTAATGAAGATCAATTCTTACCCGGATGTTCGCAGTGGTATTGATTAAAAGTAAATAATATAGTTATTAGGCACATCCGTTTAAACAATAAACAGTGGAAACCTTTTCCCTAGAACAGAAGAACAAGTATTATGCTACTTGCTTAATATATTTTATTGTGTGGTCAGAAGAAAGAAACTTATTTAGGAAAGGGAAATAAATGAGACTGATGAAAGGGTTGATGTAAACATCAACAATAACTTCAATAAGGCTTGTCGTATGGATGTTGTACATCGATAGATAAAAAAAAAAAACGCTTGATACTCTCATGCATGTGCATTTTGGATTGTTTAATCGTATATATTATCATAGAGTTTAACCTGAACGTGGTTAGTTGGTTACACCAAACCAATCTTTATATTGATGTCTAATATATATGAGTGACGTGATTAAGTATTTGAATGAAGCTTCCTTGAAATTTATGCTTGTGTCCCTTGCCAAAAACAACGACAGGTATTCATGCTGTTCTCGGAAAGCTCTCGGATATACCCTGGCCCTCTTTCCATTGGTCTTGTGGGAGGTTTTCGAGATCATTGTTTTGTATACAAAGTTATTATTAGATTGAGTTTCAAAACTGATCGAAATGAACAGTGTGTCAGAAGCATTATGTTTCAGAATGTGGTTTTCTTAAAATTCAGCGTTGGCCAAGGTAGGGTCAGACTGTGAGCTGAAGGTGGACTGTGTGTCCCTCCCTAACTCCCACTGTAACGACGGAGTCTCTAGGTGTAACGTGGGCTACGGCCCGGACGGAGACATCTGCCGCATCCTCATGGGTATGTTGAATGAGAATGAGATCGATAAAATCCTTCCTTCTTTAGATAATGCAGGCGTCAGGGGAATCAGTTTATGGGTCATTGGGTGTTACGTTAACGAGTGTTTGGAAAAGAGGCACTGTGTGAGTAAATGTGTGAATGAGTGACATGGCGTGAATTGGTGTGTGGATAAGTGACATGACGTGAATCAGTGTGTGGATAAGTGACATGACGTGAATCAGTGCGCGGATAAGTGACATTACGTGAATCAGTGCGTGGATAAGTGACATGACGTGAATCGGTTTAAACCCTTCAAAATTCTATCGGTTTATCGTCCTAACATAACGTGACCTTAAAACCATTACCAGTTGTCAATCAAATGACATCATTATTTTGCACCCAATCTCTGTAAATTTTCCAGCATATTAGCAAGCCAATCACAACTCACTTTCGCTTCTTAAATTATTTAACCGTTTAAACTTGGCAACACAAATGAAGCAGAGGTACTCTGAAAGTGGTAGAAGGAGTTCTTTATATATTTTTTTAAAGTTTCAGATCTGTCAATTTGTCTGTATTATTTCCTCAAAAATCTGAGCGGCACTGCGAACAAACCTTCGCGACTGTGACCGCTATCTTTGTTTGGCTTAGTTGATTTGCCACTGTGCGAATGCAAAGCCAGCCAAGGGAGGTAATAAAATCATCGGGCTAAGCCCTGGATGTATCCAGAGTATAGTGGAGAGTGATCGTAACGTATACCCTGGAGATTATCGAGGATGCTATTACGTTATTCACCGGACTGTTATTGTCAATATCACCATGTACAAGCAAGAGATAGTGGTTGAGAAATGTAGCACTCCCAAGCAATACCTACAAGGTACGCATGCTGGACCTCTCTGTTTTGTCCTGAGACATCTGTCAGACCTTCCGCATCCTCTCGTCGGACAAGGCATCTGAATAAATGTAACTGGTGTTAAATATGACGTTTAAAATGGGTGAGTGAGTATGGTTTCACGCCGCTTATAGCAATATTCCAGCAATATTCCAGCAATATGACGGCGGGTAACAACAGCAAAGTATTGATATCCAAATTGTCTTTCTTAAGGCTTCACACATTGTCCCGGGTCTTTGGCGAGACGAGCATTAGTGGACGGTGGTAATGGGGTATCATTCTTCTTTACGCCAAGTAGAGATCCCATGAATTTGTGATAGAAGGAAGGATTTTTCACATTGTCAGAGAGTTTCTTTGTACAGTAACTGGATTTGGCTCCTCTAAGAGCCGAGCACAAGGCATCTGAATAAATGTAACTGAAACGGATGAGTGAAATGACTCAGTTGGGTGGCACTATACAAACCCATTAACCCCATGCACGTACAAATACAGTATTATCCTGACAGATACTGGTGACATTTATTGCTGAGCTGCTAGAGAGCTAGTAGTATGCAAGGATGGAGTAGTTGTTTGGGAGTTGTTCCACCTGAGTCGGTGTCAGGAGCTGTGGCCATGTTTGCAAAAGCAAAATGGCGGCGGGTTTGAGACGTGCAGCAAAATCAGTGTTAAAATTTTAAAAATATCCACTTTAAATGTCTACATTTTCCATATCAACAAGCTCTTTTGTGTAATTTACTTGAACAATACTTCAATTGTGAAGAATAATTTAGACATGATTCTCAAGCGAATCATTGAGGAAGACAATTGTGGTGATGCTTCTATATTTATCACTCCACATTTTAATGGCGTAGAGTCTGACTGTGACAGTGGTGAGGATGATGGTGAACTGTTGACTACGTGACAGGTTGATTTTTAATGCTTAAATGAATTGATAAAATCTACCACGAACTGACTAACCTTAAATTCATAAAAATGTATAAATCTTAATAGAGGGAATTGATATGAATTGACGAGGAAAATGTCCCTTTTGTTAGAAAAATGTACCCGAAAAACAAACGCCCATTTAGGTTGCAGAAACATATTTCGCAATTTCTAGAAAAACATATAAATACATTAAAAACAACACTCAATTATTTTCATTATAACCCAAATTATAATATATATATATTTAAAAAGTTGTGGATAAATGGGTTTAACACTATTAGGAGGCTTCGAAAAGGGAGTGTGTATTCTCAAGAACGTACACGCCGATCCTCTTAACCAGCTTCTGACGACTGCTTTGCCTCCTAAGGTTAGGTCCTAAATCTAGAGACGTGTTCGAGTCTCTCCTCAAAATTCAACTCTTAGCTCAGCTTTTTTCAGGTTAGATTGTATTGTATGAACTTGACGTTAACAGTGTCATAGTTCCAGTGATTACTTGTCGAGAGATGCCACAAAATGAATACTGTATATTATCAAATACTACTTGCGTTAATTGGGATTGTTGTGAAGGGACTGGGACAGAAGACCTCCTGCCCCCCTGCCTCTCTGCCTCCCCATCCCCCCTTCTGTCTGGATACGTTCGTTGCAGTGATCGTGACCAGCTACCATTACCCCCGATTACGCTACAGTTAGTACGGCCCGTGAAGATCCGGGTTAGAAGTAATCTTCAGTAACCCATGCTTGTCGTAAGAGGCGACTAACGGGATCGGGTGGTCAGGCTCGCTGACTTGGTTGACACATGTCATCGGTTTCCAATTGCGTAGATTGATGCTCATGTTGTTGGTCACTGGATTATCTGATCCCGAGTCGATTATTTACAGACCGCCGCCATATAGCTTGAATATTGCTGAGTGCGGCGTAAGACTGAACTCACCCATCACAGTTAGTACAATAGGTCCGTTGTACAAGAGAGTAATGTTCCTTTACATCATGGAGTGTGGTGTGGCCAGACATCTTCATCCTCTTCTTCTTTTCGAGGAGGAATGACGGTCGGTCGTACAGCACACAGGCAAGGTAGCCCACGTTGTATGTGAAGCTTTCACAGCCTACAGTAGAAATACATAACTGTTCGCACATCAGTATTCCAGTATTAGTCGTCTTCATCAACGGACCTTTATCCATGAAGCACTGGGCACCGGTGTAGCCCGCCATCGCCAGTAGGGCTATGGAAAGCAAAAGTGCTAGAGCCATCTTCTTGGGGAAGCATCTAGGAGACTATATAAACAGTTGTCTGGATGTAGAAATATTGAATACTATGTCAGGTGAATCAGTTAATTAAATATCTAAATCATCAATTTACATACACGATCGATACGTCTGGAGCCCCACGCAAGGCAGAATACAACTTGAAGGCAACCGTGCTATTTCTAATAAAACACAAACATACTTGCATGTCTAGTAGTGTTTACCAAAGCGGGAAGACGTGCTGTTAATATCATTTTCCTCTTATATTCTGTCGTGAGATAACTGAAAAACTGGAAACAGAGGCGTTAAATCAAAACTTACTCAATCACTTCAAATCAACATAAAAGTTGTAACACGTTGTTTTCCCTTGCATCCACAGAACAGAATCATAAGTTTCTTGAACTCGAATAACCTTTGGTATAACCATTACGATGTTTGTTGTAAGAGGCGATGAACGGGATCAGATGGTCAGGTTGGTATCAGTCATTGGATTTTCTGGTCCGATTACAACAAACAAACAAGGTTTCATGAGATTGGGACACAGTTTAATGTGGCTGGTGAAGGTTGCAATGAACAGTATGATCAAATTCAGCATCGTTTAAAGTTGATGATGGACGCCACTTTACTCCAGCGTTATAACCTACTCGTGGCAAGACAAACCAGGGACTGATATGAACCTGTAGTCCCCCCTCCCCACCCCACCGCACCCCCCCATTCAACAGGCAAAGCAGATGGGATAATAGTGAATATACTTGAATACTATTTTATATATTAACTACTTTCACAGGAGCGGTGCGGTAGCTTAGTGGTTAATGCGTTCGCTCGTCACGTCGTGTGTCAGTGTTCGATTTCCCACATTGGTACAATGTGTGAAGCGCATTTCAGGTGTCCCCAGCTGTGATATTGCTGGAATATTGCTAAAAGTGGCGTAAAACTATACTAACTCACTCACTCACTAATTCTACGGATTTGTATACACGGTCGTGGTACACCGTCAAAATTAAATATTTCCAGACTACGGTGTGTACATATAACCTTATCAAGGCCTGTTGCTGCTCAGTCGATTTCCAACATTGCTATCAAACTCATGTCATCAATGTGCTGGCCTTACTCAGCTTGAGTTATGATTCATTTATCTCACATGGAGGAATGTATTGACATTGTTGTAGCTATTTCTGTCAGCGAAGCTTGCATATCACTACAGCTGCATCTCTTTACCACTTATGTCATGATCTTATCAAATACCTGGCAAGTATACATTGACACCAACATCATTAAACATAGATGCCTTGGTCAAATACGTTCGCTGCTACGAATGAAGGTGATGTTTCAATGGAATTGTGTGTTTCTCTCAAAAGCCCATTAAGACAAATACGAGATAAATGGTTGGCATTGTGAGGCAAATCAGGGCCGTGACCGTTCATATTTTATAGCCACGGAAGTGATAATGGAGAAGGGCAACTACAACGTGAACGACCCCCCCTGAAATTTATGCACAAAGTAGGTGATTCCCCTGCATATCATGTACAAAACAATGCCCCTACCCCCATTTCCGTCAGCATAATTTTTATATATCATAGCATTTCATATAATATAAAAAATTATATTTAAAATAAATAGAGCACATGCTTTCCCTTTTCACCAACGTGTGAATAGAGGATGTTACCGATAGGGCAGCACATGCTTTCCCTTTTCACCAACGTGTGAATAGAGGATGTTACCGATAGGGCAGCACATGCTTTCCCTTTTCACCAACGTGTGAATAGAGGATGTTACCGATAGGGCAGGATGTTACCGATAGGGCCAGCACATGCTTTCCAGCACATGCTTTCCTTTTCACCAACGTGTAAATAGAGGGTGTTACCGATAGGGCAGCACATGCTTTCCCTTTTCACCAACGTGTAAATAGAGGATGTTACCGATAGGGCAGCACATGCTTTCCCTTTTCACCAACGTGTAAATAGAGGGTGTTACCGATAGGGCAGCACATGCTTTCCCTTTTCACCAACGTGTAAATAGAGGATGTTACCGATAGGGCAGCACATGCTTTCACTTTTCACCAACGTGTAAATAGAGGATGTTACCGATAGGGCAGCACATGCTTTCCTTTTCACCAACGTGTAAATAGAGGTGTTACCGATAGGGCAGCACATGCTTTCCCTTTTCACCAACGTGTAAATAGAGGATGTTACCGATAGGGCAGCACATGCTTTCCCTTTTCACCAACGTGTAAATAGAGGGTGTTACCGATAGGGCAGCACATGTTTTCCCTTTTCGCCAACGTGTAAATAGAGGGTGTTACCGATGGGGCAGCACATGCCTTCCCTTTTCACCAACGTGTGAATAGAGGATGTTACCGATAGGGCAGCACATGCCTTTCCTTTTCAGCAACGTGTAAATAGAGGGTGTTACCGATGGGGCAGCACATGCTTTCCCTTTTACCAACGTGTAAATAGAGGGTGTTACCGATAGGGCAGCACATGCCTTCCCTTTACATCAACGTGTGAGTAGAGGATGTTACCGATAGGGCAGCAGATGCCTTCCCTTTACACCAACGTGTGAATAGAGGGTGTTACCGATAGGGCAGCACATGCATTCCCTTTTCACCAATGTGTAAATAGAGGGTGTTACCGATGGGGCAGCACATGCCTTCCCTTCACACCAACGTGTGAATAGAGGATGTAACCGATGGGGCAGCACATGCCTTCCCTTTACACCAACGTGTGAATAGAGGGTGTTACCGATAGGGCAGCACATGCTTTCCCTGTTTACCAACGTGTAAATAGAGAGTGTTACAGATAGGGCAGCACATGCTTTCCCTCTTCACCAACGTGTAAATAGAGGATATTACCGACGGGACATACTTTCCCTTTTCACCAACGTTTAAATAGAGCGTGTTACCGATGGGGCAGCACATACTTTCCCTTTTCACCAACGTGTAAATAGAGAGTGTTACCGATGGAGCAGCAGATTCCTTCACTTTTCACCAACGTGTACATAGAGGATATTACCGATGGGGCAACACATACTTTCCCTTTTCACCAACCGAGTAAATAGAGTGTGTTACAGATAGGGCAGCAAATGCTTTCCCTTTTTACCAACGTGTACATAGAGGATATTACCGATTGGGCAGCACATACTTTCCCTTTTCACCAACGAGTAAATAGAGAGTGTTACAGATAGGGCAGCACATGTTTTCCCTTTTCGCCAACGTGTAAATAGAGGGTGTTACCGATGGGGCAGTTACATGCAGCAGATGCTTTCCTTTCACCAACGTGTAAATAGAGGGTGTTACCTTTTCGATACGGGCAGCACATGCAGCACATTCCCTTCACACCAACGTGTGAATAGAGGGTGTTACCGATAGGGCAGCACACGCCTTCCTTTTTCACCAACGTGTAAATAGAGAGGTGTTACCGATAGGGCAGCACATGCCTTCCCTTTCACCACCAACGTGTAAATAGAGGATGTTACCGATAGGGCAGCACATGCTTTCCCTTTTCACCAACGTGTGAATAGAGGGTGTTACCGATAGGGCAGCACATGCCTTCCCTTTTCACCAACGTGTAAATAGAGGGTGTTACCGATAGGGCAGCACATGCTTTCCCTTTTCGCCAACGTGTAAATAGAGGGTGTTACCGATGGGGCAGCACATGCCTTCCCTTTACACGAACGTGTAAATAGAGGGTGTAACCGATAGGGCAGCACATGCCTTTCCTTTTCAGCAATGTGTAAATAGAGGGTGTTACCGATGGAGGAGCACATGCCTTCCATTTACTCCAACGTGTGAATAGAGGGTGTTACCGATAGGGCAGCACATGCCTTCCCTTTACACCAACGTGTAAATAGAGGGTGTTACCGATAGGGCAGCACATGCCTTCCCTTTACACCAACGTGTGAATAGAGGATGTTACCGATGGGGCAGCACATGCCTTCCCTTTACACCAACGTGTGAATAGAGGGTGTTACCGATAGGGCAGCACATACTTTCCCTTTTCACCAACGTTTAAATAGTGAGTGAGTGAGTGAGTTGAGTTTTACGCCGCACTCAGCAATATTCCAGCTATATGGCGTCGGTCTGTAAATAATCGAGTCTGGACCAGACAATCCAGTAATCAACAGCATGAGCATCGATCTGCGCAATGGGGAACCGATGACATGTGTCAACCAAGTCAGCGAGCCTGACCACCCGATCCCGTTAGTCGTCTTTTAAATAGAGGATATTACCGATGGGACAGCACATTCCTTCCCTTTTCACCAACGTGTGAATAGAGGGTGTTACCGATAGGGCAGCACATGCTTTCACTTTTTACCAATGTGTGAATAGACGATGTTACAGATAGGGCAGCACATACTTTCCCTTTTCACCAACGTGTGAATAGAGGGTGTTACCGATAGGGCAGCACATGCTTTCACTTTTTACCAATGTGTGAATAGACGATGTTACAGATAGGGCAGCACATACTTTCCCTTTTCACCAACGTGTGAATAGAGGGTGTTACAGATAGGGCAGCACATGCTTTCCCTTTTCACCAACGTGTGAATAGAGGGTGTTACCGATAGGGCAGCACATGTTTTCCCTTTTCACCAACGGGTAAATTGAGAGTGTTACCGATGGGACAGCAGATGCCTTCACTTTTCACCAACGTGTGAATAGAGGGTGTTACCGATAGCGCAGCACATGCTTCCCATTTTACCAACGTGTACATAGAGGATATTACCGATGGGGCAGCACATACTTTCCCTTTTCACCAACGAGTAAATAGAGGGTGTTACCGATGGGGCAGAACATACTTTTCCTTTTTACCAAAGTTTAAATAGAGATATTACCGATGGGACAGCACATGCCTCCCCTTTTCACCAACGTGTGAATAGAGGGTGTTACCGATAGGGCAGCACATGCTTTCCCTTCACACAAACGTGTGAATAGAGAGTGTTACAGATAGGGCAACACATGCTTTCCCTTTCCACCATTGTCTAAATAGATGGTGTTACCGATAGGGCAGCACATGTTTTCACTTTTCGCCAACATGTAAATAGAGGGTGTTACCGATGGGGCACCACCAAATCGGCAGCACATGCCTTCCTTTCACAACAACGTGAATATGGGCAGCACACGTTTTCCTTTTCGCCAACGTGTAAATAGAGGGTGTTACCGATGGGGCAGCACATGCCTTCCCTTCACATCAACGTGTGAATAGAGGATGTTACCGATAGGGCAGCACATGTGTTCCCTTTACACCAACGTGTGAATAGAGGATGTTACGGATGGGGCAGCACATGTTTTCCCTTTACACCAACTTGTGAATAGAGGATGTTACCGATGGGGCAGCACATGCTTTCCTTTTCACCAACGTGTAAATAGAGGATGTTACCGATGGGGCAGCACATACCTTCCCTTCACACCAACGTGTGAAGAGAGGATGTTACCGATAGGGCAGCACATGTTTTCCCTTTTCGCCAACTTGTAAATAGAGGGTGTTACCGATAGGGCAGCACATGCTTTCCCTTCACACCAACGTGTGAAAAGACGATGTTACCGATAGGACAGCACA